TGGGAATTGAACTTGGGTCCTTGCACTTGCAAGGCAGGCCACCGAACTGCTGAGCTAAATCCCCAGCCCCCCATTAGCATAAATCTTAGCAACCGAATTATCAGTCACATTTTGTTTCCTTCAACTCCAGGCAAAATTCCCTTCCATTCATGTATAATATTTGGCCCAGTGGGTACTGGGAACTGTATGTTGCCTCTGAAATCTTAGTTTCTCTGTTTTTTTTTTTTTTAATCATCTTTTTCTCCATTATATAATTTGTGATTCCAACTCCAAATAAACTATTTCTTTCTTTCTTTTTTCCATTTTAAGGCTGGGTTGGATAGAGGATAGGTGTGGATTGACAACAGGGGTCATGATCTGGTCTCTTTACCTTGCAGTTTTGTTTTACTATTTCCTCTGGTCGTAAATATTATCAAACGTTTGTGCAAATACAGAGCTGAGTGACCAGAGTCCACCTGACAATAGGGCACAACCACAAAGTCTTTCTAGGAAGAATAATTGCTCAGTGGCCGACGGAGTGTGCTTTCCCATTATCACTAAAATGTAGTAAACAAGTAGCATTACCTTAGAAACTTCATGGGCTTATTGCTTGCATCTCAGGCAGGTTTGGTGAGGAATATATAAAAGTAAATTATACATTCAAGGGAACTAGAAGCAAGGAGAGCCAAGTGGTTGAAGACAGTGAAGAGATAACAAATGTATTATGAGAAACACTTGCCGATTCCTTTGCCGGTACAGGTGGGATTAAAAGCTGCCTTGAAGGAAAGTAGATATATGTTTGAAAATGTAGTGGCTGTAGATCAGAAAAGATAGTCTGGTAAGGTATTGAAGGTTAGTAGATACACACACACATTTTTTTTTTTTACTAAATTATACCCAAAATGATTTAAAACATAATTTTTTAGTATGACAGAAGAGGAAGGTCAAGATGGGAGGCCTCTGTTTTCAATACTTTTTTAGAAAACTGGTTATGGTCAGTCTTTTATAGATACTGAAATCCTAGTTTAGTGATAAATGGTTTCTAGATTTAATTCGACTGCCTTTTTTTTCCCTTTAAGCTTGAAGAAGAATTCCAAAGAACGGCCTACGTATCCAGAGCTTATGGTGAGTATTATCAGTGTTAACATGTACATACTCACAACTAGTAAAGTAACTGAGAATAAATTATGATGATATGACCGTATGGGAAGAATTGATTCATTGAGACATAAGGGACAGGAATTGGACTCAAGAAAAAGAGTTAAGAGAGTTTCAGTCATCATACCTTCTGTAAGAAGTAATCTAAGAAGTTTTTTTCCAGGCTGATAAACCTATCACGCTATAAACCAGCTTAGGTCTATACATTTTATAGTTTCAAATTTAAAAGATACTGTGAGTCACAATTTACTAATGTAATATTAAAGAAAGCCTGATTTAAGAGATTTCAGTAATGAGAGAAATTTAAATGCTTTGTGACTTACTACTTTTAGATAAAATGCCTGGGATTAATGAATTAGATGGGTGTCTTCTAGTGGGTGACAAGGAAAGAAAGAATGATTTCTTTTCTCCTTTTGCGTTGTATACTTTGTTGGAACAAAAAAGTAACAGAAAGCATTATTAGTTTGAATTCCGTGACCTCAATATTCAGTTTATCATTTGCACTATCAGTGAAAACAGAAATGAAAATAAAACCCCAGAAGTATTTGCAGTAGTCTTTCTTATTGTGGTACCTAGCATTCTAAGCTAATTACAAGTGACATTTCTTCTGCAGATGGCAAAGACCTGAAATTGACTGTGGTTTGCTCTACCAAGCAATGTGCTGAATGTAGGACAAATACGCTTTGGCAGGGTGAGGGGATTAGAAAATTCAGTCTACAAATTTGTTTTAAGCCCTCCCTAGATTTGTCTCAGTGATCAAAGTCTCATCTTCAGCCAGGGAAGGAAAGTTACATTCCTGCATTCAGTGCAATCTTGAAAAGGAAAAGAACAACATTGATACCTTGTCGTTTTTGCTGTGGTTGTTGTGGTTGTTGTTGTTGTTGTTGTTGTTCCTGGAGCATGCTTGGGTTACAGGCATGAAATGCTTGCTCCCATCTCATCCAACCCATGAGCTCTGCTGTCTTTAAGGACAGCTCAGGGCACGTTTTAAAAGTAACAAAGTGTGTGGTGAGGTGGCTGAGACGTGGGAGAGCCTCCCTTGGAAAGGTCAGGCCGGGATGAGTGGTGGAACCCTGTCAGACACGCGTGCCATCCTCCCAGCAGGTTGCTGCTCTCCAGTAACAAAGTGTGTGGTGAGGTGGCTGAGACGTGGGAGAGCTTCCCTTGGAAAGGTCAGGCCGGGATGAGTGGTGGAACCCTGTCAGACACGCGTGCCATCCTCCCACCCAGTTACATGGCTTTTCAAGTCTTCTGGGCAAGCTTTGGTGCAAGCCTGGCCCGCTCTCCAGTTGGGTGAATTCGAGTGAAGGCCAGCTCCTTGGGCCGCCATTGCCGCCTTTACAAAAGCCGTACCCAGTGCCCAGCCTTCAACAATTTCATTCACCTTAAACCCAGAGTTAAGGGAGGAAAGCCAAGGAATAATGACTGAGCGTGTCTTCGCATTTTACATGCTTAGATCGAATATCTCCTCTTGATTATTATTGTTTTTCAAATAGCCAGTCAGAGGTCTTTTCAGTCTTGACTACCCTTTGTTGGTCGGCCTCTGCAGCCCCTAGGGCAGTGATGGACAGCCTTTTAGAGCTCACAACAATTCACAGAGCCTGCTGCGCCATGCGTGCTGAACGTTCACTGCCTCTGTCCTAGTGCATTTTAAAATTAATTTCACATAAAGTGCAATAGACATACAGTGATTCCAGCAGGATCCCAGGGAGTCAGCAATCTTATTTTTAAGTCTCCTTATCTTGTAACCAATTTCGGAGACATTTTCTGACTATTTCCAGCTGTTTAAAATGCAAAACATTTTTTTTTTCTTTCAGGGGACCTCATTAGAAATTTTGTTGCAACACACTTGAGGGAAAAAAAAATGCAAATTATGCATTGAGGACTGATGTTGAGTTCTACCTTTCTATTATATCCTAGCACTGTGATTTTCTTTGGCATGCGTATTAATGTTGTAAGATCTTGTGGGATTTCCCTGCCTTCTCCTTATGGGATTAGTTTTTGTGGTAAGGGAAATGGGCTTGCCTTTTAAGACCCTAACTATTCCTTGCTTTTCTGAAAATTGAGGTTTTTAAATGGAAAATCTGTGCCCAAACTCCCTGACTTCAGTATTGGGACACATGTACCGAGAAGCTATTGTTTAGATTTTAGAAGTTCACAAAGAGGTAGGGAGGAAAACAATATTTTTTTCCAGATGAAGTACAGAATACATAAGGCTCCATCTTGTACCTCTTCTCGAAACCCCAGATAGTTGTTCTCTCCCTTAGAGTGGGGGACATGCATGTTTTATGGTGGTCTTATTTGCTTATTCTCTCAAACTTCTCCTGGGAACAATTAGTCTGTAGGATTTGTTCTTCTGGAATAGGTATTAGCCACCCCACCTTTTTTTTAAGGTCTAGATAGTATTTTAGGTTTTGTAGCCGCCATCCCATTGTGGTTACAGCTACTGAAGTCTGTTGTTGTAGTGTAGGAAGGCAGCTATATTCACTGTGTAAAAGAAAAGAAGGGAGTGGCTATGTTCCAATAAAAATTTATTGAAGTATGAGGCAGTAGGCCAGACGTGGTCTGTGATCATATTTGCTGACCTCTATTCTACCATGACAACCACCAGAAACGATGAGCCAGTTCATTCCAGTGATCGCCAGGTGAGGTGATGAAGGTCTTTACATATCTTAGGAAGTTCCAGGCTGAATTGCAGTATGAAACGAGGGTGCCTGAACCTACAGCAAAAGGCAGTCTCGAGTGAATGACAGCAGAACAAGAGGTGAGACGGGGCTGTCAGGCATGAAAAACAACCACCAAGACAATCTCAGGTTTGGTGTGTTCTCTTTTGATAGTAAAAAGCTTTGAAGTACATCGAAAGGTCTCCAAATGCCAAGAGGGTGAGGGAAAGCTTAATAACCATGCTGGTAAAACCCTTTGTAAGTGTGCTATGTAAGTGATTAGTAATCAAAAGTCCTGTTGTTACTTGGTAGTTGAAAGAGCTCAGATGACAGGCTATGCTTCTAGAAATCCAGTTAAAGTCCTGAGTGAGAGGCTCTGGGCCAGCACCCAACCTGCATCCTCAGATGGGAAAAGCAGAAACCTTCTTTAACATTTCCAGAGTGAAGATCCTTGCCACTGACCACCTCCTTTCTTTTAGGTTTTATTTCATTTTTCCTTCCCCTTTGTATTGTTTCTTAAAACTTCCACAGGGGGGACATTCGTGTCCCCAAAGAGCTGATTTACCCAGCCCTCTACTGTCAGATTTAAAACAAATATAATTAGAAAACCATGAGGTTGTACACTAAATCCCTTAAGTCAGGGAAACACAGTGAGTCATCTACATGTCTGCATGCAGATATGCCCACATTTAGTTGCTCAAATAGCCGCTGAAAATAATGCCAGCCGACAGTTGAGAACACGGGTGTGGTAGTAGGTGAGGTAGCATCAAGTTCTACTTGAAGGAATTGTCCTTTTGTGTTTGGTTGGTTCTGGTTTTGCTGTAAGAAGTGTGTATCTTGACGTGATGTGCCACTTTCTAATTAGAGGTGGAATGTTCCAAGGTGACAGGTGGAAGGCTCCAAGGTAACAGCTTGATGCTTATTATAACACAGCTGAGTGATGTAGGAGACTGCTTTGGTGCAGAGAGTGTGGCTTACTGTTCTTCTGAATTGTTTTGAAATATGTGGTCTTTTGCATTGTACCTTGCCTTTCCCCCCAGCAAAGTGCAGGACTCTTATTTCCTTTTTGTAGTTGACTTCAACTGAGCTGCACATACAAAGACCATTTTTCCTTTTTTCAATCTTTAATATCAGAGTTGGACTTTTTCTTCAAATACCTATATTTTGGCAGTCGACAGCATTTTCCAGATGGATCGACTCTTCATCAAGACAAACATAACTCTTGGCTGTGACTTAGAGAATGCCTTTAGATGTTTCGTTCCAAACCAGCTATCCAATGTCAAAGGCAGGGATGCCTTCTTTGCACATTTACTTTTGGTATCTTATTCTACTCGACTTTTCCTGAGAAATGAAATTATCTCAGTCTAATGAATTTCTAATTATTTCACTCCTGTAGCAATCTAAAATGCTTTTTAGAGTATGTCAAAGCTTTGTGTGGTCTTTGCCATTTGTACTTTGCTGTGGAAAGGATTTATATAACGTAATTACTTTTTTTTAAAAAAAAAGCCATATAGATTCTTTGTAGTAGAAATCTAGAATTTTCAAAATGGGAAGAGTGGCAACAAAGAGATATCTTTAAAATATTGGTATGACTAGCTGTATGTAAATTTGGGAAGGTTCAGAGGAATCCAGCTTATGCTGATGGAGATATTCATTTTTAAATGAATGTGTTAATTTGGGAGTCTCAGATATTGTCGGTAACAAATATTAATATCGTGAATTTTTCTTTTCTTTCCCAGCAACATCCATTTTTCACCCTACATGAATCCAAAGCAACAGATGTGGCATCTTTTGTAAAACTGATTCTTGGAGACTAAAAAGCAGTGGACTGACCATACTGTGGATTGGTGGGTTTACAGGGCGAAGCAAGTTCACTACAGCACCAATCGAAAGTCGTCTTTGAGATAATCTAACCCTGCCTCTCTGAGGGTTTTCTCTCCCTATCGTTTTTTTCTTTTCCCTCTCCTAAGGGGGTCTTGGAATTTGTAGTATAGAATGAACTCCTTAGATGGATGAAATATGATAAAAGCTTAGGACTTAAAAAGGTGATTAAATATTTAATGATGTGCCATATGAGTCCTTAAGCTTCTCAGATTTCTCTTGTTCTTTATGAAATGAATGCATTGGCCCTGGCAAAAAGGTGCTACAGTAGTGATGAAATTGTAAGTAGATTTGTAGTTCGTCCCATTTATTATTTTAATATTTATGTTTAAGTGCTTGGTTGGAAAGATTCCATTTTATGCAAGAAGGGAGATACAGAGGAAGGTGCGGTTGGCAGTATTTATAGGGCTTTTATTTTTTAAGTTTGATCGTTTCTGTGTTCCAGAAGAAATAATTTAATATGCATCTTTAAGAATATTATAAAAATCTCAAAAAGGAGCTCTTCTCGTGAAATGTCTCTTCCAGTTGTGGCTGCTGTCACACTCACAAACTTAGTCCGGGGTGATCATCTGTGTTTTATAGTGAAGTGTCAAAGTCATCTTGGTTCTACTCTTTCCCCAATTTTGGAAAACATAAAAATCATTTTTGTTTCCACAGCGCAAAGAGTAAAATATTTGGTTCTCTTGACATTTGTGGTATAGTCTTAGTGGAAAGTGATTTGTGATGTGATTTTATATCTACCCACATATCCACATATCTGTGTGTGTGTGTGTGTGTGTGTGTGTGTGCACACGTGTTTGTGGTAAACAGAGTTCTGCTGACTGGCTTTTATGGATATCTATATTTAGTAAGAAGGACATTTGCTCATCTAAAGGGGAGATAAGGCAAACCACAGAGAGAATTGGTGCCTTCTGCTTTTGTCCCTCCTGCAAAGGATAAGCCCCAAGGATTGTTTTTGTAATTAATGTAGCCTTCTGCTTTGTCTGTTTCCTTCTTCAATGAAGAATCCTTACTATTATTGGAATGTTATTATTACTAATATTATTGGAAGAGAGGAAAAAGCCAGTTAGTAGCTCTTTGACAATATGAAAAGATAACAGGGAAAGTTGAATTAATTTCCAGGAATAGACTACCAGATCTCCACTGGAGGAGTTTTCCTTTCCTCAACAGTGTGCAGTAGCAAACTCCATCCTGAACTCCCAGCAGGTTAACTGCATAACCATACTCTTTTCTTGTGGATAAAAACAGCCACACTTTCTCTGATTTGGGGCTCTTGCTTCTTTGAGGATCGAGGAGTGAAATGATTGACAGAAACAATACAGACCTATCCTAAATTACCAGGAACCATTGCTGTTGCACATAGTGTTCAGCAGGGTTACCCTGGGAATACAAAGATGGAGGATGTTTATTTAAAAAGAAAAAAAAAATGCCACACTATTTCTTTCCTTGCCTCAAATTCTCCAATGGGGAGAGGATTGCTCACTCGAATCTTCTCTTCCTTCCCTATCAGATTTTGAAGTGCAATCGTATATTTTTCTCTGTATTTCTTTGTGTCTTGCTCTTGACCTCTTGTTCATGGAGTTGCTCAGAGTGAGTATGATACTTCTTCAGGTTCTGCTCTAAGAAATATCCATGTCATTAAGCAGCAGTTTCACGTGCTTTGTAGCTACCTCTGTCTTCATTTTCTTCTAGCCAGAGCAGGGGTCTTAACCTGGTGATTATAGCCATGCAATTTCCCACCTGCCTTCCTACATCTGGAAGTTCCTCTCTTTGATAAAGAAAAGGAAAAAACCACAGCTTTATTCTTGTCCTATTTACCCATTTTCTGAAAACAGCAACTACTAGGAGAAAAATCTAGGGTTACTCCATTGCAGTCCCGATAAAGTGTTAAAGTAAATCATCTTTCTGGTCTGAGTCAGATTACTCCTACCTGTTTTTATACTTTGAAATATTCTTAAGGGAGAGTACATTTCTTATTGGTGTGTCTGTTCAGTTTGCGAGCCCAGGGCTGGACTTGCAAAACAATCATAGTAGGGAATAAATTGGACTATGGTTTTCTATGGTTCTCAATAGCATTTTGGAATCATCTAGAAGCTTGTGACACTGTCAAAGCCTTAACCACTGGAGACTTTCATCGAATTGGTCCAGGCTAGGGCCTGGGAGCTGGTACTTTCTTTTAACAGCCCTTGTGGGATTCTGAGGTGCAGCGAGGTTGAGAACTTGCATTGCACTTTTCAAGGAGAGAGCCGACTTGAAGTTACTTTCTCTGAAATATTTGCAGAGAACAATAAATGACTGTAGAAGACCAAGAGCTCCTATTTTTTGTTTGTTTGTTTGTTTGTTTGGATCATCTTTATCCCTTTCAGGGACAGCATGTTCCTGGAAGTACTGATTGGAAGATTGAAATACCTTTTGCCCCAGAGAAACAGTGTTTTACACGATGATTAAATATCTTATGTACTAAGGTATGATGGCCTGATCATCTTAGAAATCTAAATTCAGAACATGGCTTTGTTTCTGGAGAACTGTGTTACTGTGTTGTAAACTTTAAAAAACCAAGACACGCAAACTGTGTGTAAGTTGGGAGTTCCCTGTACATACAGACAGATATGTATATATAAAGGACAAGATATCTGTCCTTGGGGATGATGATTGAAGTGCTTAATTCTCTGCCACCATGGACCATCTGATTATTAGCCCTGGCTTTACCACTGTATTACACCATCAGGTGTACTTCTATATCAGAGATCATGCTTATTTTTTCAAATGTATTGGACTTGGTATCATGTAATTGTCGATGGTACACATTGTCTTTATATTTATAAAAAATATCCACCTCTCTCTATGTATATTGTTGATTTAAGAGATGTGCCAAGAACTTAATGTGAATGATTTTTGAAGACAGTTACTATATGTGTATATGAATCACTGAGTATTGGTCTTGAGAGATGCTGCCTTAAGAGACTATATATTTATATAAATACCTTTACTAAAATATTTTTTCCCACTTCTCTTTCAGAAACCCATTCTCTCACCTATGAGTATAATCATCATCTTGGAATTACTGTTCAGTTGTTGTTTGTTTCTTTGTTTTATATAATTCTTTAAATCAAAGCCCTTAGTAGTTTCCAGCTTGACTCACCTGTCTGGTCTATCAAATTTAGCAGGAAATTGTGTTTGACAGTCTCTACAAGTTAAATTTTCCCTCAGTGTTGAAATTTTACCATTGCCAACTCTTTGTAAAATATTTCACGGGCTCAGGAGATAATTTGAAATGATGATTTCCTCCTCAAAAATTTATTCCTTTTTTTTTAAGGAAAGGCAACCTTGCTCCATATCCCCAAAGTGACTACTTTGAGGAAGAAAAAAACTCCTATAGATGTATATATTGACAAAATATCAATATAGTCATCAGTTTTACACAAGATACCCATCTGAAGACCTTGGATGAAGGAATAATCCATTAGTTCAAAGACTCTGTTTGGTCCCTCTGAAAAAATTCAGAATAACTGGCTAAATAAACAGCTTTTATTTAGCTTGGAAACAAGTACGTGTGGTATAGCTCAAAATTGTATTTTATAGTTCTTATATATCCTCCAGACCTAACAAAAAATTATCCAGTATATGACAGGAGTTCCAAGACTTTCTCTGTTTATGCCACCATTGGTTGTCTTAGTAATTTTTTCAGTGTCCTAGGCCAAAATAGTTAATAGCTCTGGATATCAAGGAATTAGGTTTTAAGAGTTTAATAGTAGTTTGCATCATGTCCTACAGATGGCGCTGTGCTTCCCTTAAGAAACAGTATCTTCTGGTACCTGTGAATTTACAGTGATCTCTCAGGATATCAAAACACACAATTTGGGGACCATCGATATATGCTATGCTGATGTTTGCCCTACAGTTAGTGACCTTCAAAATTGAATTCTTGGTCACTCATCCCTCTATATGATTTCATTCTTTGTTTTGTTGTCATTGTTATTTGTTTTGCCTTTCTCTGACTAATCATTTTTAGTGGTGTCCTATGCTTTTTTGCCAGTCCTCACACCTGCCTTGCCAATTGTCATAATCTAGAAAATGAAATACTTATAAGCTCCAGCGCTAGAGGAGATTGGTGTAAAACTAATAGGATCCCTGATCTCTCCGAGAGAACTTGATAGTCTCTTTGTAATATAATCACAAGGGAAGCAGAGAGGGGCTGATATTTTATGGCTTAACACTGACAAGGGGTTTCATTACCTGTGCTCAGAGAAGTCTTCTGTTTCTCTCAAGTGTCTAACAAAAACATTTTGTTTTTGGCCTGAATCTTAAAGGCTTTTTTTTTTTTTTTTTTTTTTTTTTTTTTTTTTTTTTTTTTTTTTTTTTTTTTTTTTTTTTTTTTTTTTTTTTTTTTTTTTTTTTTTTTTCCTGGCTATGTAACTCCCTCTGACCTTGATGGTAAGATTTATGTATTCATAAAGTTCATCAGAGCTGGTATTTAGATTTAGCAAAACTAATTATACTTTTATTGTGCTGGGATTTTGCCTTCTTAACACGACTTTGCTGGCCAAAGGATTCTTCCACTTTTATTGAATTAGCAAGTGAAAGATATTCAAATAAATATCACCTTCATGGACTTTCTCTCCCTCTCCCCCTTTTCAAATGAAAAGTACAGTTGTCACTTAGATCCTGAAAACTTACGTATTCAGAAGGAAAAATGCCAGTGTGGAATCTAGAAAGAACAAGATACCAAACCCAATGAATAGAATAATGATATTGTAACAGTTTTACATTCATCTTTTCTAGGGGTGTGTGTATTAAAGATTTAGCACTGTTAAATGTGCTCACAGCTAACAATACCCCTTAGTTTTCTTTGGCTTTAACTGAGGTGCTCTGAAATCCTTCAGAAATTTTTTGAAAGCTAGGACTTTCTCCAGGAAAGTGTCCATCATAACAGAAACACATAATTTGCAAACATTTCTTTGTTGGCAGGGTGTTGTGCTTATAGACCCCGTGACATTGATGTGACCCTGTTCTCTAGAATGTAGATAGATGGCAAATCCTAGACCACAGTCGACAAACTTTCCGTAAAGGGCCAAATAATACATATTTTTGGCTTTGAGTTCTATGTAGTATTTGTTGCCACTACTCAAGTCTGCTGTTGTTCTGTGAAAGCATCCATAAACAATTTGTAAACGAACGAACACAACTATGTAACCCATCCAACTTTATTCACAAAACTAGTTAATGGGCCAGATTTGGCTCTGAGGAGATCATTTGCCAATGCCTGTCTTACATCAACACCACCAAAATCCAATCACTTAAGGATGAGCAGCCTTTTTCCATTTAGTGCGCATTTAGTTTAGGTGATGTTCAGGCAGATTAAGAAGATGGACATAGGAAAACAAATTTAGAAGGGACAGCCTGTTCTGTACCATGAAAGTTGCCTGTTAATTTCCTCAAATAAGTATTAATTGTTCTGGAAGATGATGGAACCACTTTCTCCAAGTAAAATGGGAGTACTTACTTTTTAAAAAAATTTTATGCAGTCACCAAGAAAACTGACTTCAATTTGGAAATAAAAAGTCACATTCTCTTAGATGTTAACTGTATCCTTGATCTTAGGGTTTTTTTTTTTTAATTCCTCTCTGCAGTATATGATTCACATACAAGGAGAGTCATGAACCCAGACATTAATAATTCTGTTTTCCTTTTCGCTGAACTGTAATATGATTTGGGAATTTTGGAGCCCAAACTCACCTCAAGTACAAGGCAAATGCAGTTCTTAATATCTTGGAATCCATCCATCTCTTGGACTTGTCCATTTTTTTCAGGAAGTGAGAAAGAGTATGCCGAGGTCAAAGTCCTGTTCTCAGGTAGCCTCAGGGCCTTGGCGCCTGTTCTAGGCGAGCCTTGTCCTCAGTGAGCATCCTTCTCACCATGACCGAAGACTCACGTAGACCCCTTGTATGCTGTTCCCAAAGCTAGAGGAGTACCCTTCTTTTCAAATCATCAGGAAGGGAATGGCTGCAGAATGGCACCTTCTGATGTGAATTTTCTTGGGTTGCCAGCTATAGTTGAGTCTTTGGATGCCAGAGCTTCTGCTGGAAGATTCCCTGCTTCTCTATGGAGCCAGAACAGCTGTATAATTGGTCCAATATCTGTCAATATTGCACCCCCTGAGCTGTACAAAATTCTATGCAAATGACTCTTAGCCAGTGACCTGCATTTTCTCTCTCTTCTAGAATACTTCTTAAGGATATAGTCTCTCTATTTTTCCGAAATCTATTTTCCTGCTGCATGATCAGCCAAGCGCCCTGAATGACACTTGGAAAATTCTTAAGAAGGGCATTTTGAAGTGTTTGATCTGGCAATTTACCTAAAAGAATATTTTCTCTTTACCTAGCAAACAAAGTCTGAATTCCAGAGCCTTCAAAATGAAATTATCCTCCCAAGGGAAGCTCATTGCCATCAAATCCATCACTTGCCACCTGTTCCGGGCGACTGCCAAGAAGATATGTCTTTTTTCTGAGTTTTAGAGAGTTGCTATTTACAACTATGCAAATATTATGCTGTTGCACATTTCCAAATGGTGTCCTTTGGAACCAAGAATTTATTTGGGTTAATCTTTTTAGTTCCTGCCCCAAACTTTTTCAAGCCAGATTCCCCTAAAAGCCGCTTTCCCTTTTGAAGTAAAGAGGACTGTAGCTTAAGTAGAGACAGATGCAAAGCAAGGCCAGGGATCTCACAGTAGTAGGGAATTGTTGTTTTTCAGAAGTCAGTATCACCTCCTAATGCAAACTGGTTAATAGAATTTTAAAATATGCAAATTCCTTGGACCCTCAGTGTCTTGCTGTCACTTGTGTTGTTGTTGGAATGGAGCGGTAAGCCTTTTGTTCTTGGGAGTTTCCAGTTAGATTTTGAGAGGTTTGCATTGTATTTGTCCTTACACTTGTCATTATGGACACACTTTTTTTTGTGTGTGGAGTTAATCTTGACGTGCGCTCAGATTTCCTGAGTTTACACATTTGCATTTCAGAAATTCAGGGTCTCTTTCAAGCAGTGAGGCTTTTGAGTTCAGGGAATTGAGTTGGCAATTGAGTTTAGGGAAAGCAAAGACAAGGGTAGTTACTTACTTGTGTCTTAATGCGGGAAACAATTTCCTAAATAATTCCTAGAGTGGGCTATTAACCATTTTTAATGTTTTTCTCATAGCATTCCTTGGCAGATAAGACGACACAGTACTTTTGTGAAAAGGAACTGTTCTATCCATTCTTATATAACAAAAAGTAAAATCAACGGTTGTTCACCAATCTGACTAAATGAACTGTGGTTTTCCCAGTTCTTGAAAAATGTAAGGGATTTCTGAGAGAACTTTAACCAAAACTCCCATTAAAGTATGAGCCTTTATAATAAGAACTTCCATTTAGCTTTGCCAAAAGAGCAGTTAGACTGGGCATCTGCTTCCCTTCAGCAATATTTTGCAGTTGAAAATGAGTAATTAGCATTATTGGGTCACTACCAATGTTCTAGTAGAGTCTGTAGAACATTTAAACAGAGTAAGTAAGGGCACTTTTTTCAGGGATTATCACTGGATTTTGGAGTTTAAAGCTGAATGGTGATGTGATACCATGTTTGGGGATTGGGCGAAAAGGTAAATACAGAGAGCAATAACTGAATGAGAAACCCCCGGGAAAAATGAAGGTGATAAAAAGACGAAAGGAGAGATACATCCTTTAACTGATGTTATGGAGATGCTCCTCAATGGAGAAACCCATTCAAACACCAAACTTGTATTATTTTTTTCCGTAAAAAATACTGAAGTATAAGCAGACTGAGACAGTGGCATTCATTTGAATATCAGAAAATTTCCTTTTGCTTCTTTAATGTCATTCATTCCAGAGGATCTCTATTTTAAACCGATGGCATCTGCAACAAAAGTCAGTGCACATGGGGTTTGAGAAAAAGCAATGAATTGCTGGCAGCATTAGGAGTGTGTACAGCTCATCCACCAGCTCCTTTTTGAGTCAAGAAATATGAATCCAAAACCTGAGCTCCCTAACCAACCTTTAATTCTGCTGGCAATTTTAAGAACGGTGGATTCCAAACAAGGTTATCTGAACAGGATAGATACATTTTGCACGCCCACAGTGCAGAAAGCTGTGATTGCTTTTAGAAATGCGTTGCATGTCTTTGCCAGAAGTAGAATTATAATTTACAGAGTTACCGCTCGAAGCTAGTTTGGATTTTCAGTACTTTGAGGCTCTTTTGTGAACAAAAAGGGAGGGAATGTGGTGAAAGTCAGCTTTGTTCATCTGAACTCACTTCATCAACCTCTGGGGCTTCTAAGGCCTCAGGAATGAAATGACCACTTGCATATGTCAGAGAGCCCTCAAAGCTGGGAAACTTTGTGGCCAACCATGCCTGTGAATCCTGGCTTTGCTCTACTGAGTATGCTAAAAGGGTCAGGGAGTTGAGACAGCAAGAGGAGAGGACTATTTCTTTTAATTTTTAAGCAGAAATTATTTCAAAGGAAGTGCCTGAAGTCAACATGTGAAGGCCATGTGGCATGGGACCTTCAATGGGTAATTTTTCTAAAGTAGTTGAGAACAGCCTGATCCTCCTTCCTCCTCTCCCTGACAGGGAGGGTGTGACTGCTCTCAGCAGCATCTTTTTGACATTTCTAGGGCTGTCAAGGAAGGAATCATAATTTTTGTTTGCTGTCCCTATAGGAAAAACATAAAGCTCTTTAAGCAATTGTGACACAGACCAAATGCTAACTGGGACTCAAACCAACTGAACCACTACCCCTGACTGGGTTTTACAGAGGGGTCGTAGTTGGAGGGCAAAAGAGACCCTCTACAGCCATAGGAAACCGGCAACTGTGAGGGTGTGTCAGTCAGGAACTGGGCACAAGGGAGGGCTCAGGCACCAACTTAGACAGGAGCTGAACCTGTCCCGTGCCTTCCACACAAACAGAAATTTGCACAAAAGGAAACATGGCAGCTTGTGTTTCACAGGAGCCATTTTGGAACCTTACATTGTCAGAAAGTTTCCCTGAGCAATGACCGCATGTATTGTTCTTGGCTAATCTCTGTATTAAAAAGCTACTTGACAAAGTTTGATAAAGAAAATGTGGACAGTTTATCTCCAATATTATCGCACTGTCTGATTTATTCTTTTGCCAAAATTTATTTTCTGAGGGGAGTGATTTTCTACATGAAGTGAAATGACATTTGAACAGACCAGTAAGTATATTTTAGAAAAAAAAACAAAAAACAAAAAACAAAAAACCAAGAACGTATTTTCTTTGTGTAATTAACCTCCT